CCGGTGAGATTTGAACAGCCGAACTGCAGATCACGGTCAGCTAAAGTGGCCTGCAGTACTGCACCCTAACCACTGCACCACCTCGGCTCTATATGATCATACAACACAGGCCACGGACATAAATGTAACACACATTCATACTCAAAAACATGTACACACGCATGCATATCAGAGGTGGGTTCCTATCTATTTGGTCCAGTTCGGCCCAATAGGTAGTAACACCAGCGGACACGTGACCGTACCATTTCTATCCTACGCGGCGCTATCTTGGTTTTCTGTTCTGCACATGCGCAGAACATTCTTCATTGAAAAAATGTAGTCCCCCCCCTTTAATGTTGTGTGCATGTGCACACTGTTTTAAGTGCAAATGCCCCGCCCACCTGCCCCATCCAGTCACTCCTCACCTCCCGGGTGGCTTCCCTGCCTAAGCTGCCATGTGGTACCTACCCTGCACCCTAACTGAGCTGCCTCCTCCTCCTGCCTACAGGTAAGTCTCGCTAGCCCCCCCCCCCCCCGACGTTTGTTGTGCTCCCCCTGTCCCCTTGGGCTTTCAACCTTCCCTTCCCCCACCACTTCCAGGATCCCCATGAACCCCAGTTTGGCTCCCAGCAGGCTTCAGGCAAGCCTGCTAGGCCCAAAACAGGGCGTGGGAGGTGCGTGGGCCCCCTGTGCCAATTTTGAGCAAAAGTGGGGGAGGTGGCTTCAAGAGTGAAAGAAAGAAAGAAATCCTCACCGTTTGTGCATCCCCAAGTGCATGGAGCAGAGAGGTCTTCAAACTTTGAAACTTTAAGACTTGTGGACTTCAACTCCCAGAATTCAGCTCTGCTGGCTGGAGAATTCTGGGAGTTGAAGTCCACAAGTCTTAAAGCTCTCAAGTCTGAATACCTCTGCTAGCTGCTAACCTTAGGCTCAGGCTAAGTTAATCAATAGTGGAACTCTAAGAATGCCCAATGATCAATGGGCATGTTCTCAGTTTCAAAACAACTGTCCTTTCTTTCTCTTATCAAAGACCACCTGGTGTTCTTCACAGGAACGAAGGAAGGAGAGAGAGGGAGGGAGGGAGGGAAGGGAAGGGAAAGTGAATTAGATATGGATGGATGGAGGGAGGGAGAGAAAAAGGAGAGGAAGGAAGGACCACAAACCTGGCACTAGAAGCAGCTTCAGAGGATGCTTTGAAACTGCACAGCAATCCAGGGCTGGAAGGGACCTTAGAGGTCATCTAGTCCAACCCTCTGGTCCAGCAGGAGACCTTATATCATCTTGGTTATTTTAGTGCCTCTAACACAAAGGAGAAATTCCCAGAAATCCCCAGGCATTGCCAGCCTCCCCCCCTCTAGTAAAAAAAAACACACCTAGAGCAAAAACCTCATGCAGTATTAAAAAAGAATAGAAAAGGGGGCTTTTGTGTATCGCTTAATGGACGGCTAAATTGGCAAAATGGATGGCTAAATTGGCCACGCCCACCCTGTCACATGACAGTCAAACCACTCCAACCCAGTCACGTGGCTGCTAAGCCCTGCCCACAAAATAAGCCACGCTCGCAAAACCGGTAGTGAAAAAAAAAATTGATGCACATAATATTCACTGCAGGATTGTTAGGTATGGAAAAGATTTCAACTTCATTTTCTTCCTCCCGGTGTGGGTCTTGTTTCTCTTCTTTTCATAAAAAGAAGGAAAAGGCATACTCAGAGATATGACAGAGAGGGAAATAAGCCCCCTCCTCTTTTTTCCAAGCATTGATTTATTGGGGAAGTTTGTATGTGAAGCTTTGGTGCTTCTGTTTATCTTCCCAACCAACCAATCAAATCGTTCCACAGCTGTCCTTGAGATGAGCAGTGATCATTGATCCCCATCTTTTGCACCCAGCCATTAGGAACTGACCAGGGGTGGGTTTCTCGCCCCATTCCAACCGGTTCGGTTGGAACGGGGCCGGCGGTGTCCTCGTGCACGCGTGCGGTGCACGCA